ATGTAAATCACAAAAGCACAAATATGATATGAGACAATTACTAAAAAGTTCAAATCCACCAGCTGCTTCTTGGGAGAGAGATGGCACTATTTGTTCCCACAATGTTGTACACGGTTTGAAGGAGTAGAGAGAGTCAGTCGGCATGAGTCGGATTTGAGTCAGTGGCAATGGGCTTTGGTTTTCATTTTAATCAATTAATTTATCTCATGTAATGGTCAAGTTTAACATTAAAGGGAGGGGATATCAAAGAGTTCAAGAAGAAAGAAAATGTTTTGAAACTGATGGTGGTAGCAATGCACAATTATGCTTGATCAAATTGAATTATGGATTATTATAATAGCTTTAAGAGTTCCTACTAAAATGATTTAAAAAAACCCAAAACATTAAAATGTATGTAATTTAAAAAAAAATCAAATAAAGCTCCTTGGCTCACATTTTCTTTGAGTTTCTTAAAAACGTCCTACTGTTGTCTTGGTATGCATGCTGGTCACAGGTCTAAAGGTCTATCTTTCCCTTATTAGTGGGTTGATATAGTTCCCTGGCGGTACAGAGAATTTCTACTAGGTTATTTGATTCTCTAATGGCTTCTAGGTATATCATCACAGCATAATTTGGATCCTCTTGTTACCACTTTTCAAAATGTTTGTTTCTTTTAGGATTTCAATGGCTAATAATTCCAGAGAAATGGGAAATAAAGGTAGTTACCTGATAGATGTTTCGTTTCTGATAAGCAGAAATATTTTTCTTGTACATATTAGTAATTGTTAACACATCCCACAGCATATCTGTGGGATACACACATTCAGCAGAACAACAACTAGCTATAAAGATTCCTCAGAGTGGGGCATTTGTTTCTTGATTTTTATCCATTATTAAAACTAACAATAAGATAAGTGATTATCATCACGTATAAATATTTGGGCACACTTTGCATTATTTCACTCAATAGCCAGAGGTCTTAAGTGAACTTTCTAAGCTTTTGACTTTTTTTTTAAATTTAAACAAGACTAGACCAGTCTTCCCACCACTAGTCTGTCGGTTTGTTGCTCAGTGGTGGTTTGGTGCTGTTGTGATGCTGGAAGCAATGCCACTGGTATTTCAAATACCACCAGGATCACGGAAAGTGGACAGGTTTCAGAGCTTCCAGAATAGAAACAGAATATGAAGAAAGAATAGGCTGTCCACTTTTGAGAAATTAGCCACTGAAAATCCTCTAGTCAGGATCAAAATATTGTACGATACCCAAAACTCCAGAAGCAAAACCTTGTCAGAGATAGCTGTGCCAGAAGATGAATCCCTCAGGTCGGAAGTAACTACAGTAAGACTGATGTGAATGGAAGCCTACGGACTTTTCACTTGCTGATGGTACATGACTCAAAGTGAGAATAGCTGTAAACATCAATTCATCATTGGAACTCAGAATGCATGAAACATGAATCTAGGGAAATGGAAACTTCTCCAAAATGAAATGGAACACCTCAAGATCGGTATTGTAGGCATTAGTGAACTGGAATGGACTGGTATGGGCCATTCTGAATCAGGAAGTCATACGGTTTACAATGCCAGGAATGACACAATCAAAAG